TTTCTCGGAGTTTAGGATCCATGTCATATAAGGTTTTTTTATTTATTTTAATATATTCTATCGTCTGTTAAAATTAAGGCAGTCTTACTTCTAACACCGTGTTTAAATATAAAACGACATTATGGTTACTGATTACTGATTATTACAATGTAATTGTACAAATGACTACTTTGCAATATTATACCTACAACTAATTGTACAAATTATATTGTAGAGTACTTTTTGTATAATATAAAGTAATATAGTACAGCAATATAGTAGTAGTTTAGTGTATAATAATGTAACAGCAAGTTATAAAATTAAAATTTTTAGAATTTTTATTTGTAAAATTACAGTCGATAAAAGAATCACAGTAAAAATGAAGTGTAAATAAATTGGCATCTATTTTTCAGTGTAATTAATTTTTCTTTTTTGAAAAAAATACATCTAGTCATATGCAAAAACTGATATGAAACAACACGACAACAATACAAATCAAAATGCCGCTCGCCGGTATTTTGGTGCACAAGATCGAAGTTTGACTATATGATAATTAAAAAGATATTAAATTTGTTTAAATTAGGTTACTACCTTTGCAATAGAATGAAAGTACAAAATATACGTTTAAGAAAAATATTCACTTACTACACCACCGAATTTCCTTTGAAAAAAATAAAGATAATCCCTTTTTTATGAGAGATTCGTTTAGCCGAAATCCTTTATACCTCCATTAGGCGGCAGGCAGATCGTCAGGACGGAAAGCTGTTTAGTGTTTACGCATCCTTGACCGATTTTGACAAATGCGTGTGTTCACAAATAAAGAGCTTAAATTTCAAATTTGCTGCTTTTTGTCGGCATCTGCCCGAAGGCCTTTCAGGTCCTCCGCAAAATTACGCATGGGTTAAAATGTGACCGCCCATAGCGATCTAGGCCACTTCAAAGGACTTAATGGACTGTTAGGCCCTGTGTGACCGTTTTATATAAACAAAATGAGTCCAAAGTTATGTCAAGTGTAAAAATTATCTTGCTTCATCGAATGATAGTATGAAGCGCTTCGTTCTTGAAGTACATTCTTCAGCACTGTTATAAATCACAAATTTCAAGTAGAACGTTGGAGGTTAGGGATAATATATTCTTTGAAAATTAGCCTTAATTAAGAAAGCTAACTGTAGTTTTGTAAAAAAATATTTATTTGTCCATTTTTACTATTATTAAAGAAGAAGTCTTAAAAAGGTACTTGTGAAATGTATACATTTGGGAATATACAGAGTGATTCGCAAATGGTGACCAAAAATGAAACCTCGTATTCTTTGGTGAAAAAAGAAATTAATAACATTAGTCATCATTTTATTGATTTTATTTGAGTAAATGCCCAAAAATACCTTCATATCCACGAACACAGGCCCGACATCTTTTTAGTAACGAAAATGTAATTTGTTCGAAATTTATTGTTGCTTGAATCTGATGAAAAGCGTTATTTATTCTTTCTTCTAACTGCTCAGAATTGCAGCCCACTACCTGTATGTAATTTTAAAAAGCATTATTTTCGAATATTGAAGTGTGTTCTCAGTTCGTTTTTTAAGTTTTACTCGAAAATCAGGCTTTCTTCGAAAAATATAAGAGAATAGTAATTTGTAGAAAATAGAAAGACGAATCCGTAAATATTATGGTTGTTACCGTAAAGCAGTGGCATACTATTTTATTTAGAAAAATTTGCCACCGCATGTAAGATGTAAATTTTAGGAAAAGCCCTCAGATAATGTTTACATAAATACATGTGCCCAATTTCAAATTATTTCACTTACTAGTTTTTAAATTATTTAAAAAAATTAAAAATATTTTTTGAAGTTTAACACCCTATATGTTTTCAACGAAGTGAACGAAGCGTCCTAGATAAAAACTTTATAGGAGGGACCCCGATATTACATTTTTTGTCACCTTTTGTGAATCACCCTATACATTTCGGCTTTTATAATCACCCAATTTTCTAAAACTGACTAGATACAATTGTAGAAAAAGCAAAATATTTGTATTTTCAACTGCACCTTTGTTTTTCACAGCAACAGTACAGCACATGACTTACTGCTTCTGAAGGGACTAACAATAGCACTCTTCTGTGATTTGAACAGTTTGACCTATAGCCCATTTCCAATTCGTAAGTCGTATGCTCAGCGGAAGAACTCACTGACTTTAAAATTAACTGGAATATGGTAAGCACGTGTCTTACATAAAGAAATGTTTGAATATGCCAGTGGCGTAACGACATATTATGTCGGGGCCAATTTTTTAGATTACATATGATATTTACTATCAAATTTTTTTTCCATACCGGCTTCAATAGAATTAACGATACATATTTCATTCAGAACAAATGTATTAGTCATTGCAACAGTTATCGAACAGAAGCATATGCAATGTAAGTGTAAATAATGTCTTGTAGTTTAATAAACAATAATACTAGAGGCATCGATTGCCTTAAATTTTTTGCAAATTAGGATATTAAATTATGCTATGGCTCTGTTAGATTAGTTGATAATGCCAATAATCGAATCAGAACCATCATGAAAATTGTAGTACGTAGTAATTTACAGAGAAACATTGATCAATGAAATTATTTTAAATTATTATTATCCCTTTTGGATTATATCCCTATATTATCTATATTGGGGCAGAGAATCTAAAATAACAAGAAAATAAATTATGTCATGACCAACATTGGGACAAAAATGCGACTTATATAAAAAAACTGAACCCACATACATTGTGTTCTATTAAAAGACTAGCCTCTCCCGTATATTTATTTTTTTATTCATAATTTTAACGAACTTTTTTTTGTTAAATAGTTCTCCTAAAATTGTGGGAGACATGTTCTGTTCAAATTCCTTTCTAATTCAAAGCTTCGGCCAACTGCGAATACTTTTTTGATGGAAAATTGTGAAAAGTATTTTAATAGTGACATACGAGATTTCAAAATTATAGGCAAAAATTGTTCTGTTGAAAAACACCTGTCCCATTCTTGTGTTAATTTTAATTAAAACTTGCTTTTCATATATACGTATTTACTAAAAGGATGATATACTACTTAAGCCCATTTGTTTGGATAGGGTGTCATTATAGACTTGACAATTCAAGAAAAAGAAAACAAGCAAAATTGGCAAAAACCCGGTTTTCTCCGTTCTTTTCGAAGAAAATTGGAAAAACTGCAGAAAAATCCAAGCATTGAAAGAAATTAAAAATAAATACCAACTTGAAAAATGCTTTTTTCGATATACCCAGAAAAAAGAAAAAAATCATCTCAGTTTCCAATTTCGGAAACTGAAAAGTTTCCAATTTCGGAAACTGGAAGGTTTTCCGAAATTCGAACTGGGTAACCACGAAATAAAATCAAATTACCTCAGACTACAAAGTCGATCATCAGTCCAAACATGGGTGAAATCAGAAAAGGCCAGTTGTCCAACCTAAAGGCGGACTTCCCTACAGGACCTTTGCGGATCCATCATGGCCTGTGATTGGACGTCTACCTTGCTGTTCATTAACCAGAAATGGAATCTGGACAATGCGTGTAGTACTTTTTAAGTTATTGACATTTTACAATGCATAATAATCTGCCGATCAATAATAGTCAAATATCCGTCTGTTATAAATACATATCGCAAAAATAAATCGAAAGTTTGTAGAAACAAATTCATAATTTTTTTCGAGCGCGCATTGCTCTCAGTCTAGACCTCAGTGCCCCATCTATCTAGGCATTTTGCAGTTTTACGGCGAAGAACCTAAGGGATAAAATGAGCTCCTAGGAGCTGCCCAAAATTCACGCCAAATATGCTTACTAAGGGACAAAATAAGGTTGATCTACGACATGGCGCTCAACGTGGGGCTCAGATGTGTAGACAATGAACAATTCGACCATATGATAATATTTCTACATATTGGTAATATTTCTACCTGATAACTGATTTTTTACATTATTATTTCAACTTAATAACGTAAACGAGCGCAACAGTAAATATATGTTGCAAGTTAGGTAATTATATGCAGAAATTAGGGAAAACGTGTTTTTTTTTTTAATTGAAATTCGTAACATTTCCCTATTATATGAAGACTTAATTTATTAGCTTTCATTTCTTATAATAGTGTCTAATTAGCGTTTCAGCACAGTTCCAAAGGTGGGCTCTATTAAAACCGACATATTGGTTAAACTCAGATTTTTTAAATCTGTCTAGTACAATAATGATTATTCATTAATTAAAACTTGTTTCATTCCATTATGAAGTGTATTAAGGAAAAAAAAGTACGCTCGTGGACATCTGCAAATTGCTCCGTAAAACTAAGTACATTACACCCTTAATATTATGACAGTATGGCTCTTTTTATTTTTCGATATAAAATAGATAAAAAATACAAAAATATATATTAGTATTTTTTCCAAATTAGTTTATAAACTTTTTCAAGCCGAGTTTTGGGCACTCGTGCGCCACTGTGCTCCATAAATAACAGACTGAAAAACAAAATTATCCTAAAAGTTTACGATTGTCGCGGACCATTGTTCGGTCGACCGAACCATTTAAAAACGCCGACCCGAAAGCGGCCCCTTTCTGATCCGACTCAACGTCTAGCCTCCAGCTTTCCGAGCAATTAAAATCTGCGTAGCTCACAGTCAATACAAACCATACAATAAAATATTTACCATAACAATATTTTAACTCGGCTGCTTATTAGCTAGGAACCGACCTATATTTTTACGACGTAAATATTTGTCCGCGTTAATTGCGCCACGTTCGTTAGGATTACTTGCACCATAAAACTGTATTTTTTTTTATTATATGCAGCCGCCTTCAGACTTATGTATGTTCAGATATTGTCTGTAAATATTTATTTGTGGAAGTTTCAGTTACTCTTTTTTATTTGATTGCATATTTTTGCCACACTAAAAGTAAACAAAAAAATTAATAAATAATCCTTTGCGACAAAAGGGTGAGTGAAAGGGTTGATTTTATCAATTTAGTTTTGCTCAACCTAACGATTTGCTTGCTGCTGCTGCTGCTGCTGCTGCTGCTGCTGCTGCTGCTCCTGTTGCTGTATTGGTACCTACGAGTATTTGAATTTCTATTCAAAACTTGGCTATACACTTTCATGTCCGCCATTTATCTATTAAAATGATTAAATATAGTAATGTGTTATTATCTTCAGTTTCTAAAGTTAATTCAATCATGTAAATAAATAAAAAATCCAGTAAAAATAAAGAAAGATGTATTGAATCGTTTATAACATAAGAGCAAAATTAATTTAATACACCAAATGTTTAAAAATGAAATAGGATTGGTGGAAAGTTTATTAGATAAATCAATATCCAGAAACATTTGCTAATAGCTGTTTTACATTGACAATTTATTCATGAATAAATTGACGAAGTTCTTCATGAATTAATTAATGAATTTATTGGTAAACAGTAGGTCTGTTCCAACAAGAGTCAGGGATTGGTTCCCACCGTTCGAAATGTTTGGCCAGCTAAATTCTAAATGTGTCTTCAGTGAATATATCGCAAGAATTAGTTGGATGCACATTTCTGACGGTTTGGAACCAATCCCTGACTCTTGTTGGAACAGACCTAGTATGGTTTTACACTGCTACCAGACTTTGTCAAGTTTTTTGACATATGAATCAGATCTACCAATGAATCAAAGAAGCAAATAAATTTCAAAAATGTCACTTTTCCACTCATAATTGTAGTGATACAACAGCGATACCATTCTGACACATATTATATAAATATTAGTTTTTGTAAGTAACAAATCAGTAAAAACAATGCAAAACTAGTACGACGCCACACAATTATTTACATATTCCTATAACATAACCTCATTACTGATCTGAGGCTGGAAATCTGTTGGGTTGGTACTTCTGAACTTCACGAAGAAATTTACGAAAATTAGAACATGCTCTAATTCGTCAAGAACTTGATGAATAAATTCATGAAGTTATTTGACAGCAGATTTGGTGCATTACACTTGTCCAATTTCTTGATGAAGGGACTTCATGAATTAATTTATCAATAAATTATCAATGTAAAACAGCTATAATAGAACTCTTGAAAATATGGAAAATAAACATTTTCAGACAGCAAAATTTTAAACGTACAATAAAAATACCGTATGTTCCAGGTTCACCTGGAAAATTAAAAAGAATTTGTAATAGAGTTAATATCACAACTGTTTTCCAAACCAGCAATATACAGGGTGTCCCAGAATATGTGGGCAAAATTAATTTTAAATAAAAATTGTTTAATCTCGAAAACTGTTCATTTTATCGATATCAACCAAGAGTACCTTTTTTAAATGTAAGGTTCAATTTATCTAAAAATATTATTTTTGTGTCTTTATCGTACAAGGTGTAAAAAAAATTTACTGCTACAGCTAGTCCGTCCCTAGCAAACCAAATAAGTCAAATTGTTTTCATGGGTCAATTTTTAAAGAGTCTTATCTGTTGTCCATCGTATTAAAAAATAAATTCGAGAGATTGCCCACATATTCTGGGACACCCTGTATTAATGACAATTTCATCACTCAACTGCAAAATTTTAAAGACTGCATTCATATCTAGTATATCTAATGAATGTTGTAAACATTATGTTGGTGAAACTTAGAGACCTTTAAGTTTAGAGATTTAAAAAGTCGGAGAACATTGGTATTATATTAGAAAGGAAAAATTTGAAAAATCTTAAATTTCCGAACGTGTGTGGCAAAAGGGTTGACCAAATCAAATCAAAATTGGTACAGGAGCGCAGATTCAGGAGTATTGTCACTTTTATTGAGTAGCGACAACCATTACCTGTTTTCGGTAGAACCACACTGTTTTCAAGAAAATTGCAGTGTGATTTTAAAATTCTTCTTAACGGTTGAATATGACAAGTCAAATTGTCAGAAGTTAATAATAAAATAATGAAAAAATAAATCCTCATGAAGGTTGAATGTTCCTATCAATTCGTTTCATAGAGAATATTAAAAATAAAAAAAACATGGATGGTAAATAAAATTGAGAACTTTTTTCATGGAAAACACAATTTTAAAGAACAAACTGTCTTTCTTGTAGTGCAGGCCCTATGTTTTCTTAAAAAAGAATTGTGTGCCTTCTGAAATAATCAAGGTTAAGGTCTATTTGTGCCGTATCCTCCTTTTACTCGCTATGTTGTACAATTTGCAAGTTCTCAGATGGTTTTGTATATACCAAAATTTTAAAACAAACCCAAGTAAAGAAGTCCAGCATGTTTAGGTGTGGCGATCTAGGTGGTTACTGAATCTGTCCATCACATCTATTCCACGCTCGTACGTTTCATTTAGGTACGTCCAAATCGGTAATGAGAGATGAGAAAGATCACCATCGTGCATAAACCATAAACCACCCTTTATGTTAAATGGAGCTGCGTTCAAGTAATGAATATTGCCAAATTTGTTTGGTGGATTGAGTGCTTGTACACGTTGGATGGCATATGGTTACAGTAACTGTTCACTAAGAGTTCTTTGTACAAGAGGATGGTTCAGCTACATGAACCGCAGTGTGTCTAACGCTAGTTTTGGGATTTTCTCCCACGTCCTTCGAAATTTGCTCGGGTGAGGACACAGATTTAGAAATCTTCCAGAGAAGATAGGTTTCGACCTTGATATAATATTATATTTATTATATAGTCCTATGGACGTGGAAGAATTGCTGAAACACATCATTGGCTTGTTGAACCACATCATTGGCTTGCTGAACCACCTTCACTGACTATGGACATGGAAGAAAATAGTACCCTGCCGTTTATAGATGTTCTTCTTAAGAAAAAACCTTACGGCAGCGTGGGATATTGTGGACATAGAAAGCCAACCCATATGGATATATATCTTATCACCACCAAACAAAAAGTCTTTCCAAATCTTGAGTATATCGAGCGCGTGACGACTTGCCGAAACATTTACATGAGGACCTACGGCACCTAGGACCATCTTTTAGAAGAAATGGAAACACGAATAGGAATATTGGTACCATCAGAGGAATACCTAAATACAAGGAACAAGAATATCTTGAAACAAACTAACTGCAAATATACACGAATGTACTGAGAATATAATCTGCATATTAAGAAGACACGATACCACCTACAACACCTGAGGACAACGACAATTTTTCTCAACATGAGCTACAACAATGATCTACTCCAAAGCTTCAGTGTATCCTGTGTACATGAAGAAAAGTATATACGGATAAGACACGTCAGTAGGACGTTGATGTTAACCTAATACTCAGAATTCTGAAAATTTCCAAAGTTATACTCTCTATTATCTTCCTCTTTAAACTTTGTGTATTTTGTCCCAATTCTATGGTACAAGTTCATTTAGCAATTTCTTTATTTATTACTACACAACTTTAGTGTTTTCTTCTGCATCGTTTCGAATGTATTAATTCTTCTTATTTTCTTGCTAATATGTATGTAGGTAATAATATGACAATAAAGAAGTTTGTTGGAATAAGTTTGCTGCAAAATTTAAACGCAGCTGCAAGTTGGTTGTTTTAGCAACAGTTCAAGCTATCTACTTCCAAGTGTCCACGGGCCTCTAGTTCACAGTGAGAAGTTGCTTATTCTACCTCTGATCCCTCGTCGTTGTCCAAAACAGTGCCTTATGTGTTTATACCAGCACCGGCACGCGTTCTCCTTATCTGCGCCAGACGGGTAACAGAGCAAGATGGAGGGAAGGGAATCAGTACGTGTAATGTAAGATGCCGTATAGGGGGCAAAGGCTATGTCACCGAAACTATTCATCTTTCGGTTCAGGATGCAGTCATGTAGCCGACAGACGGTATCGCCGAATAAATAACCTTTAAAGATGCTAAGTACTTGTTTACTGTAAACGCGGGAAAACACTTGTGTATCTTAAAATTATTATTGTTCAAAGGTTGCAACTAATTTTAGTGAATATAAATAACTGATTTTCACGGACATTAGAATTGAAGCTTCCAGAAGGCAGAGGTGCACAACATTTCCAAATTCATATCATTTTTATCTTTAGCGATTTCCAAACGTATTGATGTAGACTGATAATTTGTGTAAAGTTATTATTTACAGTACTTTTAAAATAAATAAAATAAAATAAAATTGGGTGTTCCCGGTTGCCTATTTTCTATTATTTTCAAAATTGCAAGATTTTATACAGCATTATGCAAATGATAGACAAAAGTAATAAAGCAAAAATAAAACAAAATGTCTGAATTAAAGATTATACAGGGTGTCCCGTTCATGTTTCAAAAAAACTTGTGTGCAAGTTCCTCATGGAAAAATAATAGGGGTAGTCCTTGTAAAGTTTTTTTTATACGACTGCCTTGCAAAAGGGGGTTTTGCACACGGAAAACACGCTCTGAAAACGGTATTTTGCACACGGTTATGTCATGTTTGCACACGCGTCTCCAGATTGTGATTTTTGTTTGATGTTGTCACCCAAGTTATGCAATGTTTCAAGTTGGCTGAGTTTCATAGCAACAGTCACGGCTCCTTTATTTTGTTGATTAGATACTACAAAAATTGTTGAATTCCCGAAGTTTGGGTGTGAAAATGTGTGATTCTGAAGAGATTTTACAGGAAGCAAGCGAAATATGTTCGGAACTGCTGCCCACAAAATCCAGAAGCAGGTATGAAGCTGAGTTAAGCCGATTTATGGACTGGCGACTAGCCAAAAATGTCCAAACTTTCTCAGAAAACGCAGTAATGGTGTATTTTGAAGAACTATCTAAGAAATATAAATCTTCGACGTTGTGGACGATTTTTTCGATGCTCAAGTCAACGTTAAGTGCCAATCACAACATAGATCTTGGAAGCTATAAAAAGTTGCAAGCGCTAATCAAACGAAAATCCGAAAACTACGTCCCAAAGAAGTCCCAAATCCTCACAGAAGATGATTTTTGCCGGTTTTTGACGAAAGCATCAGACGACAAATATTTACTTATCAAGGCGGTGGTGGCAGTTGGACTATCTGGGGCATGTCGAAGGGAGGAATTATGTTATCTCAAAATAGAAGACACCAAAGATTTCGGCAGTGCTATGCTGATTAAACTGAAGAATACAAAAACAAAGGTACCAAGGTGTTTTACAATTACAGGAAACCTTTACACTATCTTAAAAAAGTACTGTGCTCTTCGTCCTCCTAATCTGAAGACAGGCAGGTTTTTTTTAAACTATCAAAACGGAAAATGTTCAAGCCAAAACGTTGGCATCAACAAAATTGGAAACATGGCTAGGGAAATCGCCAAGTTTTTGATGCTAGAGAATCCAGAAAGTTACACGGGACATTGTTTTCGGCGTTCATCGGCCACAATTTTAGTCAATTCTGGCTCAAATCTGCTTGCCCTCAAACGCCATGGAGGGTGGAAATCCAGTACAGTTGCCGAAGGCTACGTTGATGACTGTTTGAGAAATAAAATAGAAGTTTCGAAAAAGATAGAGTTACTTCTGCTGTCACAGAACCAGAACAACGATCGTCTACTGGAATACAACAAGAAAACAATGACCGCACGCTGAAAAACTGCACTAAAAACACGACACCGAAAATATTCTCCATTACCGAAAACAAGGTGCACAATAAACTGCTTTTCCCAGCGTAACCTTGAAGGAATGTTCAAATGTTACCATAAATATTAAATATTAGTTTCTTTTGTTAATGCGTTAGCAATTTTCTTAATAAAAACGAGTTAAATTAAAAGTTGTATTTAATTTATTTTGTTAATGCGTTGGAAATTTTAGTAATAAAAACGATTAAAATTAAAATTTGATTTTTGTGGTCTCTGTTTGCAGTCGTATAAAAAGTATAGTAAAAAACTCGTTTGAAAACCTCTTTGCACACTCGCTCGACTTGTGGACCACGCCTTCGGCTCGGTTCACCAATATGTCTCGCTCGTGTGCAAAGAGTCGTTTTCAGACCTTGTTGTTTAATATACTATTTCTTATACGCCCTGTTTTTCGAGATACAGTGTGCTGAAGTTGTTACCTACTTTCCAAATGGTTTTCCTTAATTATCTTTAAATCGGCTAAAGATAAAAATGTCAAAATTTGTACACGAGTAAACGTCAACTGCGCGTTAAGAATAATGTGCAAACGGTTTCTTTCGGAAAAGCAGTGTCGCCAATACAAGTAATTGGAGGGGTACAATCGAAAAAAAATATATGTTAAAAGTAAAAATTTATTACATTTCTAAACGGTTCTGTAAACTCTAAAGCATACTACAAAAAAGATATACTTATCGAAATTTGGTAGCATGTACCATTTTCGAGAAAAATTAAGTTGCATAGATGGAAATGGGGAACAATTTCAGTATTTACTGTAGAATTTCGAGTTAATTGTGCAACTGTTTTGTTCTGTATGTCTCCGAGTCTGTTTCTTAGTATTTTTTGTTCTTATCACTTTAATTAAGCATTCTTGTCCATCAAAAATTCAGTCCATTCAACAATTGTTTATTTTAGTAATGGTAGTACCTATAGTACTATATAGTAGTATAGTAATTAATAAATATATAATTAATTGCCATAATCTGTTTATTTTGATTTACCTTTTTAAATGTTAGTTTACAACAAACCGAAACTTAAAATAAATTTAATTTTTTTTAGTTAATAGAATGTTTTACAATTTAACAGTTTCATGTGCTACGTAAGAAATTAAAATTATAATCTTAAATGGAAATACTGTTGGTAGATAAATGTCTTCAGCTCATTCAATGGTAAGGTTCTATTTCAATTTAATATTTTGTTAATGTACATGTGCCGCTTTATGTGAGCAAAAAAAATGCAACTTCATTTTTCTCGAAAATAGTACATGCTATCGAATTTCGACAGGTATACCTTTTTTGTGTAGTATCCTTTAGAGTTTACAGAACCGTTTATAAATGTAATAAATTTTTACTTCGTTTGTACCCCTTCAATTACCTGTATCGGCGACACTGCTTTTTAGAAAGAAACCGTTTGCACATTATTCTTAACGCACAGTTGATGTTTACTCGTGTACAAATTTTGACATTTTTATCTTTAGCCGATTTAAAGATAATTAAGGAAAACCATTTGGAAAGTAACAACTTTAACACACTGTATCTCGAAAACAGGGCGTTTAAGAAAAAACTTTACATAACTACCCTTATTATTTTCCCATGAGAAACTTGCACACAAGTTTTTTTGAAACATGAATGGGATATCGAAAAATAAGTCAAACTACTAAATTTCAACAAGCGATTTCTCAAAGACGAAAAATGATATGGGAATACATACAATTGCGTTTTAATGAGTAAGTATAGTACTTACCCCATTAATGATTTTAGCAAAAAAAATACCTATCCATGTAACATTACCTCAAATATGTCAAAAAGCCGCAATTTTGGCACTTTTAGGTTAGGATATCTCGAAAACCAGAGCCAATTGAGAAAGGATCTCGGATTCGAATTCAGCACACCAAAGCCCTTCGAAAAAGCACATTCTGGTCCCGGGGTTAGAGGGTTGGCCAAATTTTATCGGCCTGTCGATAAACTTAATAAATGGTTGCTCGTGAAAAATAGCGTAATATTTAATTCTATACTTATTTATACAGTGTCAAATGGCTAGTACTTTGTCGATCGACGACATAGGTTGCCGAACCTCGCGCCCAGGGGTTTTAATAATTGCTTAAAAATAGTACTGAAAGGCACCATATACCCTAATTTACATGTGTTAATACTGAAAACTTCGAAGAAGAAATATTTTACTGCTAACTCGACAACTGTCTTTTACAGTTTCCAAGATCCCAATAGATGCGTGGCTAAAATTGTCCACCGGTATAATAAAAATACTCTATCACGAAATGCACTGGGTTTGACATAGATAAAAATATTATATTCCAGTGGAACTTTGTGCCTTTAAACATATCGAAAAGGTACCTAATCTTTTATTGGCTATTCAAATTTGATAGGCACTAGAATAATATGGTTGAATATAATTA